AGCCGCCAGCGCCGCCGCGCACCCCACAGGGTCCGCTGCAGCGCCCTCCTCAAGAGCGCCGCGGCCCGCGCCCCCAAGCACTTTTGACCAGTGCTCGCCAATCTCCTCCAACGTGAAGCCGCCGCCCGCGGCAGCGCGCCCGTTTGCCTTGAGGGCGCCCCAAAAGCGCCCAGGACTGCCGCGCAGGTCCTGAAGCAGGTGGTCGTTGCGGCGCGCCCGCAGGCGCCGCATCTCGCGCCGTTTCTGAGCGTTGAACGCGTTGCGCCAGCGCCGCACCTCACTGGGGTCCAGGCGCCGATGCAGCGCGTCTTGCAGGTTGAAGAGCGCGCGCTGGCAACGGCGGAACCAGGGCGCGTCGTGGCGCGCGGCGCCCAGCGGCAGAGCGGCGGTTGGCGCCGGTGGGCGGCCGAACGCGGCAATCGCCGCCGCTTGCAGCGCCGACGCGACTGCTGACGCCGCCTCCGAGCCCGGCGCCTCCGCCCAGCATGGCGTCCTGCGAGAGGTCCTGGCCGCCCCGCTGCCACCAGGGCCACCTATCCATCCAGCTTCTGCGGCCGCCACTTTGTGGGCTGAAAAGGGCAGGCAGCTGCTCGCTTGCAAAGAGGTGAGTCGTCGGGGTCCAATATGGCACTTGCAGGTTGGCGGTTTCGAGATGCACCTTGGCATCACTCAGCTCAACGGGGGACTGGGACTATGATCTTGCTGCAGAAATACCATCGGTGAGCGCAGTGCTCGAGCGCGGCGCGCCAGAAACAACGCTGTGACATGTTGCGGGGCGCCAGGCTTGCTCACCTACAGGGTCACCTACTTGACTGCTGTCATGAGCCTGTGTCAATGCACAACAGCCCCTACCTCATTCTAAGGATGCACGGTGTCCCATTGGAACTTGAAGCTCCTTCCTCGCACTGTAGATGCCATTGTCTTCAAGGCTGCCCTCCACGTACAGTAACTCTATTAGATCATCTTGGCACACGGTACTGTAGACAGCAGTAATATTTAATTGGATTACTGGTTAAGTCTAGCTATACCGGTATAGCCAAAGACGTGTGAGCCGGCCAGACAAGGAGGCAGGCTGTACAAATTGAAATCAAACAGGCGTCCGCTAGAGGCAGCAGGCCGCTCATGCACTGCAAACTAAACTCTAGTGGTAGGAGTTGGCACACACGGACTTCGCTTCTGTGTCAGCAAAGGGCTGCGCCGTCACGAGCGTGCTCTTCACGACAGCGACGGCATGGGTGCCGATGCACAGCGGCGGCTGCGACCGCGACGAGCGCAATCGTCCTGTCAGGATTCACGCCCGACGAGTTGGCCTGCCTGGATGCCGACCGCGAGGCCATATGGCCTGGCGTCGACGTCCGATTGCTGTTGGTCAACACGGACTTGCTGCAGTCAGAGGTCGGCACCTTGGCAGCAGCCAGCGCCAACGTTCAGCAGCAGCAGCAGCAGCAGCAGCAGCAGCAGCTGCAGCAGCAGCGTGAAGAAGAGGACGCCATGTACAGCAATGGCCGCCTCGTGTTCTTCCTTGGCGGGCCCGCTCAGCAGCATGCCGCTGACATCAACGTGAGCCGGGGGGCGAACAGGGGCGACTTGGAGGGGGGTGAGAGCGGGGATTGTCGCGAGTTGGTGTAGCCGGCGCCGCCGCTGTGCAGCTGCGGCCTGCCGCCTGCTTGTCCAAGTAAGCATTTGGCATGGTTCGGTCTGCGGGGCACCGGCTGCCCCAGCCACGTAAGCATGCCGCCTGCTGGGCAGCCAGCGTGCTTGTGCACAGGCCCCACACCCAACCACGATCACGGTGTGCTCGACCCCCTTCAGAGTATCTTGGTGGAAGACCTAGGGGTGGCCCCGGCCATAGTGGCGGCCGCGCAGCCTAGGTAGGCGCCCCGTGCTGCCCGCCAGCCGCCTCCATGTGCAGCATCCCCAGCCGGCCTCCCGCGCCGCCCCCAGGCGTGTAGCTTCTAAGCAGCCGCACGTCAATGGCTTGGGGGCAAGCAGGGGCCATCGTGAAGACAGCTACCCAGGTCTAGCAGCTGCGTGTCCGAAAGGAATGCACTCACCTCCATGCGCCTGCAGTGAATCCTGCGCAGTGAATTATGCGCAGTTTATTCAGCGCACTTTGTTTCTGAACCCAGTGCTTGTGTCAGTGTTCGCACCCCTCACCCCTCCCAGGCACGCCGCCATGACCCTCGCCGACGCGCTTGCCGCCGTTCGCGCCGCGCACGCTGCGCACCACTCGTTGGTGCGCCCTGTGGCGACGGCTTTGCCGAGCGGGGGCGAGGTGCCGGCCTTGGAGGCGGCGCCCGTCTTGGCCATGAGCGTCGCCCTTGACCGCGGGGAGGTGCCCACCAGCAGAGGTGCGTGGGTGGGGGCGCAGCTGAGAGCCCCCTGTGGGCTGATTGGGCCGCGGGCCGCTTCACGGACACCTCAGGCTGGCGCATCACTCAAAAAAGGAAGGGTCGGGCAGGTAAAAGGTAGAAGTGCAGACGTGCCAGGGTATGGTCGGGCCAGAACCAACCATGTTGCAGCACCTGTGGTTCAATCGGCTTCCCTCAGCAGAAATCCCCACTCGTATGTGCATGGGCGTCCGAGTCCACGCAAGCACATTCGCATTTGGCCCCCCTCTCACTCACGTGTGCGCGCACTAGTGCACATGCATGCCCATCTTGCAAGCCGATCCGTCTCCACGCCGCCCGCTGCCCCACAACCAGGCGGCCTTCGCCAGGACGAGAGCAGCGCAGTAGTGATTGACGGCCTCCTCACAGACGAAGAGCGCCGGGAACTTCTCGCCTGGCTGACGTCCCCCGACCACGACCACACGGGGCCGCCGCCCGAAGACAAGTGGGAGCGCGCCTGCGTCGACCGCGACGGCGACGCGGCGACGTTTGGGCTGCGGCCAGAGGTCATTCAGCGGCTGCGGGAGGCGCCGCCGCCGCCCGCGATCGCTCTGCAGGCGCGGCTGGCGGCGATGTATCCCGAGTGGCTGGTGGCGCACATGCCCTGCGAGGTGAGGGGCGGGAGGGGGGCGAACCAGTGACGATGCGGGGCCAGGTCAGGGCGAGGCGGGGCTGGATAGTGCAGGTCTCTGGAGGCAGTGGTGTGGGGGAGCCGCGGCTGCATGAAGGCGGCGCTGTGCATTGTGCTGCTCGCTTGCCCGAGGTACATGCCTGCCTTCAAGTGGTGCAGCCAGCAAGCAGGGACGCCGTGAATACCTGCAACTGCTCCTGATCTGACCCCCAGACGCTTGAATTCGGGTTTGATTCAGAAAACCAAGGTCAGAGGTTCCAGCCACCAACTGTCCTCTGGCGATCGCTCACGCATGAAGCCATCCAAGGCTGCCACCCCTCTGCCCCTCAACCCATCACCTGCCCCAATACATGCCCGCGAGTGTTTCCCCCCAACTACACACACACACACACACACACACACACACACACACAGACACACACACACACACACGCACACACTCGCACGCGCGCACGCACGTGCGCACACACGCACGCACAGGCCCTGCTGGACGATGACGAGGAGGTGGCACTCAGCAGCCACGTCGCCAACGCAGTCGTGTGAGTCATACGCGGGTGCATCACGCCGCCCTATCTGCACAGTGCGGGCCCTTACATGGACAAGCCGCCCCCACTTCTGCCCAGCAGCCTCGCTGCCGCCTGACCCTGCGCCTTGCCCAGGCCATGTGCTTGCAACCGGGGCGCAGTCCCGTGACACCCTTGTGGGCTGAGGCTCGTTTAACACTGCCTCCGCCATCAACGCCTCGCCGCGCCGCTGCACTCCGCCCGGCCCCGCAGCTATGGCGACCCCTGCCAGTGGCACCTGGACGCAGACCCCGCCTGCCTGCCGCCGGCCGCGCCCTTTGTGGAGCACGCCGGCTACTATTACAACAGGCGCGCCCTCTGCTTTGATATGTGTCGGCGCTCGCTGCAGCGCTGGACAGGGAGGGCTTCCAGCTGCAGCACTGCTGGCGCCCTGCCATGCGGGCTGGCCTCCGCATGGCATACGTTTTTTCGCAGCCTCGCCCCCTCGCGGCGGCCTGGGATCGCCGTCATGTGCGCCTCGACACAGTGCTGTCAACCGCTGCAAGCTGCCGGAGTCGCAAGGCCCTGGCCGCCTTCCGATCCCCAAACCCTGCAGCCCTCACCCCAACCACCCCAGCCTCTCGCTGCCCGCCGTCAACGCGCCACCCCCCACCCATCTCACTTGCCACCCACTCTCCCCTCCTCTTCACAAACACCACCATCTTAACGCCGCTTCCGCCGCCTTGTCGTCCCAAGGGAGCCCGGCAAGCCCATGTTTGTGACCATGATGGCTTACCTAAACGACGAGTGGCGCGAGGAGTGGCACGCGGAGACGCTGTTTGCAGACCCTGAAACTGGCACCGGCGTGTTCGTGCAGCCGCGGCCAGGGCGGTGCGCCGGGCTTGGGAGGGCGGTTGGCCGGGGTTGAGGGGCTTGCGGGCCGTGCGGGGCGGGAGGGCAGGGGCAGCGGCTCGCGCCCAGCAGCTGGGGCGGCGCGAATAGGGCAGCAGGGTCGGATCCGTGCGGCTAGACGGCTGCAGCGCTCAGCGCCGGGGTTTGCCAACGAGACGCGCCGCCAGCCATTCGTTTTGGAGGCGTTTGCAAATTCTATATGCGCGGACTTTGGGGTTGTCGCGGTGCGTTTCTGGTTCCTGGGTCAGCACCAATGGCTGCTATGCTGCTGCGGGGGGCCCGCCGCTCCAGCGTCGCTGCGAGGCCAGCAGCGACCCATCCGCCCTGCTCCCTCGCATTTCGCGCTGTTTCATATCCTGCTCCGCAGCTCATGGCCAGGCTGACTCGCCAGCCGCCTTCCGTGCACACAGCCACACCCCGTGTTGAGCGCCGCCGCATGTTGTTCCACGCACGATCACATGGGCGGCCCGGCCCCTCCCCACTGCACCCCACCACCCCAGGGTGATCCTCATGGACCAAGACATGCCCCACCGCATATCGTCGCCCTCAAAAGCGGCGCCCGGCCCGCGCTACTCGCTGGTGTGGAAGCTGCTCTGGTGGCCAACGGGCGGCCCGGGATCAGGAACACCAGCGTTGGCAAATCCATCAGGGGCCACCGCCGAGCAGACTGGCAAGGCTAGTGGCGGCGGTGGAGCAGCGGTGGCGAGTTTGGGGGGTCAGGATTGGGGGTCGGCGTCGGGTCTGGCTCGGCCAGAGTGGGGGCCGCCGCAGAGGATAGGGTCAGCTGCGGCGGGTGCGGGCGGGCGGCGGCTGCCATTCCCCTTGTGAGCTGCTGCAGGGAGGTGTCTGCACGCCTGCACTGTGACAGGGCGACTGTTGTAATGTATAGCCATGTGGCATCACCTTCGTTCGATTATATGGCTCAAACACAAAGCAGTCACGGCTGGCAACATGCAAAAATCTGGGCAGCGACAGCTTGTGATGTTCACGCGCTCATCGTTGCACCTCCATCCATCGCTATCGGCGACGAGGAGGTGCCGGCGCTGGTTGCCGCGCTGCCCGTCGTGACTACAAGCAATGCGGAGAGATTCCGGCACCCTCGGTTAGCACACACTGGCTGTGTTCACAAACCGTCTGCTGTCGCCGCCCCTTGCTCGCCATCTGCATAGGACGCCGCCATCTAGGAAAACCGCATTATTATCTTGTTTGAATTATCTAGGCCTGCGGCCCCCATGCTGGTGGCTGATGTGCTGACTCATTAGCACCGACGGGGGCACTTGTTTATGGCGGCGTCTGGACAGTCGGCGGCCAGGAGCCCAAAAATCAAGAGTATTTAAGGCCCTGCACATTCTTAATCCCTTACAATCTTTCTCCCCACACCCGCTGGGCGAATTCGGTGAGTTGGCTCTTGGCTGCGTGCCTCGAAATATCTTGCCGGGAGGCAGCGGGGACCCTGCGCTTGGCCTCCGTGTGTTTCAAGGAATCTGCATTCATGTTTCCATCTGTCATCCTTGCGACATGCTCTCAGAGGCAGGCGGTGCAGCCAGGATGCATGTGCACCAGCCCGAGGCGGCCTGTGATTGTGACCCGAGGCACGCCGGCCCCCCCGCCGCCCCCCCTCATGGGGTCGTCGATGCGCACACGCCTGCTGCTCTCACCAAGGCAATGAAAAGGATCCAGGGCTTATTGTGCCCCTGAACATCCACAAGCGCCCAACCAGGACACCCATGCCCCCCTCCACCCATGGCGGCGGCTCGTCCTTCCCCCCGCCCGCGCAGGCTCCGCCCCTTGCTCCCACCAACATGGCGCTCAACATGCTGCTGGCGCTGCTGGCAATGGCCCTTGCGGCCAGCAGTGAGTTCCACCATTGGGGCCACCAGTCTTGTCGCACATTGCTGGCACGGTTGCCTCGGGGCGGCAACGTTTCGGCGAGCTGTGCCTCGGCCGCGCGCTGATGTACTGTGAACGGATGCCAGCGCCTAGCCTGACCTGCATTTTAGAGCCTCCCTACTCCCATCATACCCTAACACTAGCCGTCCTTCCCTTGTTGCAACCTCCGCACCTTGACTTGCAGCTGTTTCTGCTCAGGGTAGGCAGCTGATTTGACCTCCTCATGCAGCAGGCTGCAGCCTGCCATCAACTGTCTGCCGCGAGCTGATCTGGATGGGCGGCAACACCTCGGATGAACAATTGCCCGCTTGCCTCTCCGCGCCCATCAACCCCTGACACCTGGTTTTCCTCTCCTTTTCATCGTGCCTGCTCCACACCTTACAGATGTCTCAGCTCAGGGTGGGCAGCTTGGCTCAATCACCATCCTCATTGTGTGGCTCGCAATCCAGCGTCGGGCCTGCGATGCCGTTTGGGCAGGGGTGCCATTGCCTCGGCTGACGCTTTCCAGCTGGCTGCACCGTTCCCAGCAATCAACTCAAAGTAGCCACCCTCTCCATCCTTGCTACCCGCGCACCACGCCTTGCTCGCAGCTGTCTCCGGTAGGCAAACAGCTCTACACAGCTGGGACTCAGGCCACCAGCACGCCCCCAGCCGACACATGTACCCACAGCCGCCTCTCGAACCTTCCGTCAACTTGCTTGCTTGTTTCCCCCATCCGCCCCACCCCCCAGCAGGGTCCCTCGGTCTCTGGGTGTCCCCCTGCACAACACACGCAATGCCGCCTACGCTCAGCCCGCATAAATCCTCCCCCACTCCGCCCCCTCGCCCCCCGTCGGCCCCGGCGCAGCCGCCGGCTGGTGGAAGCCCCCAAAGCGCATCCAGTGGCAGTGGCAGCTGTCGCCCTTCAACTACCCGGCCGACCTGGTCAAGGGCCCCGACCGTCTCGACATGTACGATGTCGACGTCTTCGACAACACCGCCACCACGAGTGAGCCCTCGGCCTTGCGTACTGCACACGCACCTGGTTGCTATCCAACAAACACTTGCTTTTACCAAGATCTGCAGTCTAGCCTGGCAGCATCAGCGGAAAGCTTGCATGACGACGCCGCGCGTGCAAGGGGGCGTGTGCACACATGCACTGCGTTGCCAGATCATGGCAGTATGCAAGGCCCCAAAAGCGCCAAGTAAGTGTCACCAGCGGTCCCGCTCAGCACACAGCCACCAGCTCAACAGCCGTGCGACACACACCCTTGTCTTATGCTGCCGTAACTTGCAAATGGCAGTCCGCAACATCAAGTCCAGGGGTGTGCGTGTGATGTGCTACTTTGAGGCGGTGAGTGTTGTGCGGCAGCATTCTGCCTTGGTACGCAGCACGCACGGTCGCACGTGTGCGCTGGCCAGTCAGACAGTGCCAAAATGCCGGCAACTGAGAGCCGTAGCACTCAGGATGGCGCGCTTGCCGCCGGCCTTCCCGGCATCACCTGATACCCAACATTACACCTTGGCTCACGCAAGCTGCAACGTTCGATGCCCTGCCGTGGTTGCAGGGTACGTGGCCAAGTGGCAAGGTGAACAACCCCTTCCTGTCCCAGTACCCTGCAAGGTGCAAGGGCAAGCCGGTGAGCGCACATTTTCTCGTACAATCTATAGGGTGCCCTTGATTCATGTGCAAACGCCGCAAACTGAAGTGTGTGTATAGGCGGCGAGTCTTGCATCCGTACGCCAGTACTTGCATGCATGATTGCGGCTCAAACGCAGTGGGTGCACGTTGACCGTGCCAAGCATTTGCCAGGCGCACGGTGTACACGATTACCACACCCGCCTGCCAAACGAGTTTTCGCGCATGTCTATTCAGACATGCACGACCACAATGGTCATCGTGGCTGATACTGTGACCTGCCGTGTGCTTTGCGGTTCTGCCCCCATCTTCCCCGGCCCGCAGTACGAGCCCCCGTACACCGATGAGCTGTGGCTAGACATCACCTGCCCCGAGGTGCTCAACATCACCCGCAAGATCCTGGACCTCGCCGTCACCAAGGGCTGCGACGGGGTGCGCTCCCGGCGCGTGGTCAGCCGGAAGCACGCACGGCCATGGGATGGGCTGGCGGCCAGTCGGGCGGGCGGGCCATCGGGGGTGTGCGGATGCGCGCCAAGCGTCCCCAAGGGCGCTGGCGCCGCAATCCGGTGCGGCACCACCGACCTGCGGCGCAGGCGGCCGACCTGATGCTTGCGCGGTCATTGTATGGCCGCCCCTTAGCCCCTAGCAGTGTCTCAACCTCACACCCCCCCCCCCCACCACCACCACGTCAGGTGGAGCCTGACAATGTGCAGGGCTTCGAGACGGACTCTGGCTACAACACCGGCTTCTACAAGTGCCCCATCAAGAATGGCGTGCAGACCGGCTACACCACCGGTGAGCTTGGCCCGCAGCCTGCGGCGGGTGCACCCAGTTGCGAGCGCATGCACCAACCGGTCAGGCGAGCAGCTGGACCCGTGGCACAGCCCGCACCTTGCGCGGCCAATCCAGCACGCCCCTTACCACAACCCAGCATACAGCACTCGTTGACGACGGACCAGGCGCCTGACACGGGGAGCAAGCTATCTGCTTGCTGCTGAGCCGACCGCCAATTGCCCCCACCTGCGTGCTGCAGGCTGCGACCTGGATTACAAGGAGTGGCGTGGCTTTAACTTGTTCCTTGCCAATGAGGCACACGCGCGCAACCTCTCGGTGGGCACCCTGCCTGGCACCACCACCCCCTGCGTCCAGTATGGCAACAAGGGGGCGCACGTCGCTCAGGCGCACTCACATGGACGACACACACGCAAAACACGATTTAACCAGTTGCGGATGTCTTGTGTAGGTCTGCGTCCTTGAGACTTGCAGGGGGCGGGCGTGTGCACGCACGTGCATGGAGGACAAATGTGTGCATCCTGGAGAACGCACACACCCTGCGCTTGCGCATGCGCGTTGATGGCCAACCCTCTCTTCCACCCCCCCCCCACACTCTCCCCAGATTGCTCTCAAGAACAACTTCTACATGGCGCCAGAGATGGCTGCCGTGCACGACATGGTGCTGTCTGAGCAGTGCTACCAGTATGGCGAGTGAGTGCCTGCGGGCTTGCCATCAAGTCTGCTTGCAATTGGGCTGTGCATGCATGCCCATCAGGCCCGCAAGCGCCATTCTGCATGCGGCCTGCTGAATTCGCACGCTTGGGGCCAGCACGTGAGGCCGGCCAGCAAGCACGCGCCTCGTGCTGGCGGCCACCTGAACTGATTTCGCATCGGCCTCCCGCCAGCCACGATGCGTGGCACTGCACTATGCCTAACACTTGCACAATGCAATCGCAATGCCTGGGCACCTGGACCTTGATTCATACCTCGACACTCACCCATCCACGTGCCCTACCCGAACTCTCCTAGGTGCGCCAATTACACGTCCTTCATCAACGCCGGCAAGCCGGTGCTGCTGACAGAGTACCGCCGTTCCAATGGCTGGCCCCTGAAGACGTGTCGTGAGTGATGGCTGTACGTATATGCGATTACGGCCTTGCTGTATGAGATGGCAGCTGAAGGCGACCGGTGGTTCACACAACATTGTCCGGCAGGGGGGACGGCGTGCCAGGCAACAAATTCTCACGCGCGTGGCCTTGTCTGTGCCTGGCAGCTTTACTTGCAGTGGGGTTCTGAAAACAAGTTGAAGCCGGCAAACTTGGCGCTTGTTTACGCATGTGCACACTCGCAATCAGACGCCGCTTTGGCCTCACGCGTGCAAGCAGGCCAGCAGCCTGTCTGACGACGGCCGCGCGCTAGGATCACCCTTCAGCCTTGGGGAGCAAGCTTCTTGTCATTGCCGCCGCGGCCTCCTGGATCGTGGTCGCCACCTGTTGGCTCACTGCCCTGCGGGTCAGCGCCTCCCAGTACACCCTGCCCGCCGTTGTTCCCCACATGACTGCGGCCTGTCGCACCCTCACACTCTTCCCACTTCCCACATTACCAAATCCAGAGTTTGCCTGGCCCAAGGGCTACTCTCCCATGACCAAATCGACATCCCTGACGGCCGCTGACCGCCAGGCCTGCTGCGGAACGGCCCTGGCCAGCAACGCCACATGCGCCCCCCTGTGCCTGGGTGAGCTTCTGTTATTTCCCTTGGGTCTTGTCGTTCATGTTTGCACCGGTCTGTGCTGCGTAGAATGTTGCCTCTTCTAGCAAACCTGCCGAGAGTGCAAATACATCATAGGCAGGCGTGCTCTGCAGCGGCACCTTGAAACTGCTCAATGTGTCTGTGCCCTAGCACTAGTTGCATTTCCAGCCGTCTGCTTGCCCCAGCTTTTCCCTTGCGTGTCACGGTTGCGCGCTGCATGCGACTGTTTCTTGTCAGAAACAGCCCCGCTGTCACCTGCCTCAACCCAATCACACGCCCCTCGCCTCGCTCCTGCCTATCTGCGCGCTGCAGCTGCGTTCCAGAACCCAAGCACCTGCGTGCCCTCTACTGGCAGGAAGCTGCTGCTGGCAGACTGAGTGCCAAGCTCCACACAACAACGAGCGCTGGACCGGTGCGGTGCAGTGTGGGCGGAGCACCAATCAACCCAGTGTACATCGCCCACCAGTTGCAGGAAGATGCAGTGGCTAAACACAACACACAGGCCTGCTGTCAGTCAGAATTCAACAAGGTACTGCAACCCCATCATCCTATAACAACCGCTGAAGATGCTATTGCTTGCACGCTTGATGATGAGGCATATGCATTTGTTGCATGTCATCACCTAGCTGCTTGCCATCTTTCATGCAGTAAATTGCCGATGATATTGCCGGTGGATTCGTGTTACATCAACTTCGTTTGTATCAAAGAGTGGCATGTCTCTGCATGGTTGACCAACTGATGCATCTGTGACACATCAGTCAGAAATGCTGATTTTGCGGCAAGTGTGTGTGGGCAGGCGCTGTCGGATGAACCCCACAGGAGCAGGAAACCGCTGCTGCTGTCCATCATATCATGTTTGGTTGACAGAATTGCACCAGGGGGGACTCTCAACCGCCACCAATCTTTCGAAGCAAAGAGGTCATCAGTTGGGCGATTGGCAGATGGCAGTGAAATAAAGCAGCAGAGGGGTTGTCATTGCTGCTGGCAGCACGCGTGTCCCCGCTCGCTACGTGACACGACCAGTACAGTACCGCAGATGGTATCAACACAAAATTGTCTTACGTTTGTATCAAGACATGCGGTTCAAAATTGCTCCCGTGACACGGTGGACCCAGGGACTCGTCACATCCTCGTTCCCTTGGCACTGCGCGGCAACGGCGGCAGCCCCAGGGCCGAATACAAGTTTGATCGTTGAACAGGAAAGGTGTGCTGGGCCTGGCAAGCGTATCCTGCACTGACAGCGACATGGCCGTCACTAGCTTCCCCTCCGTGCCTGACAGTGCCGGGCGATGCTATCATCCAGGGCAGGGTCGGAAATCTCACACTCTATTCAACGGCGTCCAAAACAGATATTCAAGGCAGTGCGATGGCAATAACCTGCTCTGATTTCTTCAAGTGCCTTGCAGCCTTTCTGCTGCCGGTGCGGATGTTGATGTGCTCTGCAGCGACGCGTGACGGCCCCAGCAGCCGCTCAAAGGCAACTCGGCGCGGGTCTAAAGCGCCGCCCCCAAACCACGCGATTATGGACGAGGTGCTGGCTTTCATGGGAATGGAAGGCCATGCATATGTTCTCCTCTGACAACGGAAAGCCACTCTGCGCCATCACCTCCATACGCATGCCTTTGCGGCTGCTTTCCGACACTACTCCGCCAGCCGCTCGGTGTCTTCCTGGGGAAGGAAGCCTGCGACAAGGTCAGGCGGCTCTGAACGTTCTTAGCATCTAGGGAAACATTTGGGCGCTGCCAGTCGCTATTTGACTGGATGCATTGTCCAAGTCGCTCGCCCCAATTGAAGTGCTTGCGCACAGCCACAACAAATGCTGGCGGCACAAGGGCGCGGCTTGCAAGCCGCCCCCTCCGTCGCAAACTACGTAGAAGGCGGAGGGCGGGTACTGTTGTTCTGCTGATGGCTCTTTCATGTTTAAGTTGCATGACAAAAGAATCAAAGGGGGATGTTGGCTGCTGCTACCCTGAACACACTCACATGCATAGAAAATGATCTATGACAGCCATGCCATTCAAGGACACCATCGGGCAACACTGGTTGTGCCGCGGCCATGTGTGCAGGACGTTCTCATCAACATCCTGCTGACCATCCTGGGCTACATACCTGGAATCATCCACGCCGTCTACATCATCATGAGGTACTAAAAAGCGTCATCCCCACAACGGAGTTGTGTGACAACTCTGGTGGCTGACAATCCATCAGGTGCGGCGGCGGCGTGCCTGCCAGCTGGCAGCCTGTGCTGCTTGCGTGTACACGCAAGCACATGTGCCAGGCACCATGGCACAGTCACATTTCACATCAGAGTTTTGATCTATGGTCATTTGCCTGTGTACCTGTAAACCACTGTGCTTGTGTGCGTCCCAGTGCCCCGGTCGGTGCACGCCACATCAGTGGCGGCAGACGTCAATCAAAGGGGTTGAATCAATTGCCCAGCAAACCCATCGGTCGGCACGTTGCTTGGCCGCACGGCGGCCATTCGGGGTCTCATTCAGCCATGCGTCCAAGGGTCCAGTGTACATGCCATGTCGCAGTCCCTGCTGCGGAAGCATCGTCTGGGTGATTTTATCCGCACCTAGGCCTTGTGGGCGCCGCCTGCAAATGTGTACTTCAGGGACGGGTATCGTGTGGGTTGGTCCACCAGGGTTCACTGGTCTTTATCAACGATGGCCATTATACTTACGGTTGCTCAACTCCTCAACGCACAACCAGTTGCGCCGTGCACGGTCGCCACCCTCTGTCATCGCAGCGAAGCGCTGCCAGCAGTGCAGCGGCGGCAGCGAGACGCACGAATCGCAGCCCCAACGGGGTGCGCGCAGCTGCCATGCCCTGCGGGATGCACCGAACGCAGACATCCTGGGACGCAAGCCCAACTCAATCAAAATAATCAACTGCTGAAGCGTCTTGTCTTCATTTTGTCCGACTGTGAACCTGAAAAACTTCCGACACGGTTGTCACACAACACGAGCAACCCCTACTTGTTTTTCTGCTTTTCGAGAGCTTATTTAATCAACATTCGATAATCGCGCCTACGTTGATTACCCCTCGAAGACTGCATCAGACGCACCACCGCTTGACTACAGCAGTGCTCCGCCTACGCACGGCGCGCCCCATTTTCGCACCGGTGTGCTTTAGGGATTGCAAGCAATTGGTGGTGGCACAAAATCTTGGCCAACTTTGGAGTGCGGGGCGCTCTGCCGACCTCAACGCGCATGGTTGTTGCCGCTCAGCCAACATCATCGCGGGCTTAGTCGGACCCCCTTTGCCCAAACCCGCCCAAACGCAGCTGCAACTCTTTTGAGCCAGGCCAGTTGCAATGGCAATCACCTGCGGCGACTTCTTCAAGTGCCTGGCGGCGTTCATTCTGCCGGTGCGGCTGGGAGCCTGCGGCCGTTTCGCATGCATCCGCCCAGCCCCTTCTCCTGCGGGCCGGTGGTGTGGCACAGCTGGCGTGCCCGCAGCTGCTGCCTCGTGTACATGTTTGCATGAGTTGCTGAGCAGGTTGTTGCTCTACCCTTGAATCACCAGCCAGGTTTGGTTCATTACACTACCCTGCCACAACCGCTTTCCGCCCCCCATGCCCCCCTCACATGGTTATCACCGCCACGCAACAAACCACGCAGCCACTGGGGGTGTTCTTGGAGCAGGGGACGTGCGGGAAGGTGCGCCCTGCTACCAGTGTCAGGGTCTGGGCTCTGGAAGCACGCGTGCTGCGCACAACATGAGACTTTTCGAGTGCATGCTCTGGCAGGGCGCATTGCACTGGTGACCCTGGCGGCAGAAGTGGCGTTTGCTGCCTGCTTTCAATGCCGCCACTGCCACTACCACTGCCGCTGCTGCTGCATGCTGCTGCGGGTGCTGCTGCATCTGATCATTCTTTCTTCCGCCCATCGCCCGCTGCTCCGCAGGACTTTCTCATCAACGTCCTCCTGACCCTCCTAGGGTTCATCCCAGGGGTCATCCACGCGATCTACATTATCGCCAAGTACTGATGATGATATTAACGGCAGCTGTTTATTGATAGGCCGTAGATGCGGCTTTACGCACGGCTTGCCGCATGCAACCATGCAACGCGGGCCCCTGCATTGACCTTGCATCACTGTCGGCGGCGATCTGATTTGAGACATGGTATGTTTTTATTGGGACATGTCAACTTAAGTGGCTGTTACGGCGTTGACTTGCGTTGAATTGGCGCAATGTGTCAGTTGTCAATAGGGCTTGTGCAGTCATGTGCAGTTTGAGGGCAAGTGTGCCGTAGCTGAAAGCCTCAGCTGCTGGGTACAAGATAATGGGGTTGCACATACCGGTCTGTAGATGATGTTGTTGGTCCTGCAAAGCTGACTAGCGTGGCCTTGTCTGAGCTGTACACATCATCTGAAGGTTTGTACCATGGCCATCGCAACATGTGCCTTGACTTCCGGGTCAAGCACATGCTGCAAGTGTGTGCAACACGGTCGGCAGTAAACCCTTTGAGAAAAAAACCATCCTAATGTATTTATCAAGGCGTGGCTATTGGGTGAGCGTTCAGGAATGCTTTGTGAGGATGAGTCTGGTCGAAGGCACCAGGCAGCGAAGGGGCGTAGCACGCAGCGGTGAAGGCTGAACCCCACATTGTGATTGAAAACTCTTTTACATACATCAGCGCATTCAACCTCCTCCGCCGTGGCCGTCGGCCGCACACACCTCGACCGCACAGCAGCAGCAGCAGCACAATGCTGGCCCGCACGCGGTCTGTGTTCGGGACGGGCATTGCCCCGCGTGTCGTGCCTGCCGTGGTGGTGGCTCCTGCCAGGCGCAGCCTGCAGGTCGTGGCAGCGGAGGCTCAGAACAAGAAGCGCACGCCCCAGCCGGTGAGCGGCCGTGCTTGAATAAGACAAATAGGCGCTCAAGCCTCCTGTGCGGCCCTGACAGCCATTGGCCCTCCGCGCTGCACATGTGCGGCGAGCAGGTGAAGCGCGCTCAGCTCGCTGAGGAGCGGCGCATGAACAACAAGGGGCGCAAGTCGGCCATCGCCACTCGCATCAAGAAGGTGCGGCCCGGCTGCCGCAGCTCAAGTAGCGGTCGTGGCGGTCGCGTTGACAAGCTGCAAGGAGTCGCGACGGCCCTGCTTGAGTTTGGCAATGCCAGGAGGATGGCGCTGCGGCATCGCTGGGCTCTTTTGGAATCTTTTAATAAAGCAGCGTTGGCCGGGACAGTGCACCTCGCTTTTGGCAGCCGGGGCGCTGAATGCGCCGCGTCGCTGCGGCAGCAAACCCATGGCAACAACACACTCAGCAGCCAGCATGCCAGGCGTCGCCGCAGCACACCAGCAGCCGGCGCGTCGCGTCAGTCTCATCCCCCTCGCCGTGTAGGAGCCGTGTGCCGGCCGCCGACAATGTGCAGCACTCTTTCGGCAGCCCGCAGCCAGCTGGCATGGCCATGCGCCGCCTTGCTGCCGCCCTGCTGCCACCTGCCGCCCTCCCCAGCACCCTAGCCCCTTCCAACCAGCCCCGGCAGCAGCAACCCGTCCGTCATGCGCCGCCCAACGCCCCAGGTCCTCAAGCTGTCAGAGGCGCTGGTGAAGGCCCCGGAGGGTGCTGCCGAGCAGGTGCGCCCCAGGTCATGCCGCGCGGCACAATTGCCGGGCGCAAGGACGCTTGGTGCGCCCGCCCGCCTGGTCTCGCCTGGCGGACAGCGAGAGTCGCGTGGCACGCCGCGCCATTGTTGGTTTCACCGACGCCAAGCGTGCGTTGTGCGACGGGAGCCTCCCCTTGAGCGGCACTCGGCTGCTTGTGTGGCTGGGCACGTCGCCGCCACTTTGTGGCATGAGCCAATTCCGTCGGCAGACGGTCAACAATATCTGTTGCTTCTACCACACCCGTTCCCCTAAACCCACCCTGCCCCCCCCCCCCAGGTCCCGGCCCTGGAGCAGCTGGTGGC